CTCTTGGAACTGAGCAGCTATGTTGTGAGATGATCAAGCCACACAGAAAGACCATTAAGTAAGTGATCTGGTAAATAATACCTGCCCAGATGCCAACATGTGAGTGGAGAAGCCTCCAAATGGTTTTAGCCCCAAGCCACTTGAGTCACCCCAAACGGAGACCCTAAGTACCATGGAGTAGACAGGCCATCCCTACTGTGCTCCATACCAATTACTGACCCAAAAGAATACATGAGTATAATAAAATGGTTGTGGTTGTATACCACTTAGTTTGGGGTGCTTTGTTGTTTAGCAGTAGATAACCAGACCAAAAGATGCCAACTTTACCAAAATAGCTTTATAGATTCAATCTAATCCCAATTAAAATTTCAGCAGGAGAAATGGCAAAGCTGATCCTACAATGTATATGGAATTACAAGGGACGTGACTAGCCAAAACAAGATCATAAAAGAACAAAGTTGGAAGATTCATACTTCCTCATTTCAAAAGTTACTGCAGAGCTACGATAATCAAAACAGGGTGGTAATGGCATAAAACATATAGATTGATGGAACAGAACTGAGAGTCCAGAAATAAACTTCTATAGTCAGTTGATTTTCAATAAAGGTACCAAGGCCATTCGAAGTGAAAGAATCATCTTTTTTTTTTTTTTTTTTTTTGAGACAGCATCTCACTCTCTTACCTGGGCTAGAGTGGCATGGCATCAGCCTAGCTCACAGCAACCTCAAACTCCTGGGCTCAAGCGATCCTTCTGCCTCAGCCTCCCGGGTAGCTGGGACTACAGGCACGTGCCACCGTGCCCGGCTAATTTTTTCTATTTTTAATTGTTTGGCTAATTTCTTTCTATTTATAGTAGAGACGGGGTCTCGCTCTTGCTCAGGCTGATTTCGAACTCCTGAGCTCAAGCGATCCCGCCCACCTCGGCCTCCCAGAGTGCTAGGATTACAGGCGTGAGCCACCGGCTCGGCGGAAGGAATCATCTTTTCAACAAATTGTACAGGCTAATCTTTAGAAGGGCCTGTTTACATGGTTTGCCCTTGGCTGACATTTGGGAACTTGGCTTCTGAAACCATCCCTAAGTGATAAGGTTGTGCCTGCTGTGCTAGCCTGACTAGACTTTTTAAATAAACAGTGTGATTTATGGTGAGCACCTGCTCTCCTTCTGGGAGACTAGAATTTTGGAGAACAAAGGGTACCTACATAATTAGCCCCCAATAAAAACCCTGGACTTTGAGTTTCAAACTGGCTTCCATGGGCAGAAACACTATGCCCATGATACTACTGGAGGAAGAGTGTACTGTGTGTGGCCCCTTCCAGAAGCACACAGGCAGCCTGCACATGGACTCCCCCAGACTCTGCCAGATCTGTCTTTCCCCCTTACTAACCCAGCTGTGTATCCCTGCTGTGTCACTGTAATAAATCTTAGCTGTGAGTATGACCATATGCTGAGTCCTGTGAATTCTTCTACTGAAATACCGAATGTGTGGGTGGTCACGGGACTGCCAAAACAAGTGTATCAAAAGTGCCAACACAAGTGGGGTCACAACTGTTTTCCACAATATGTATATTAAGAGTTTATATTAAAATATTTCATACACAACTCATAGTGATCTTTTGCACTTAAAGAGATCTTAACAGTTTTTCCCGCCAAGCAAATTATGAGGAAAGCATAGTTCAGACCTTAAACCAATGTGCCAGTATAATAAAAGCAACTTCCTGATGAAGAGAGGCACATCTCTCCCTCTATAGAAGTAGAACCTAACAGAATGTTAAAGTAAGTTTTTAAAGAAAAGCTTATTATACAAAATGCCCCCAATACTAATACTCTTAGGTGAATGTTTTCTCTTTCTATTAGTTCAGGTCATTTAAATTTCAAACCATTCTTATATATAACAGGATAATGGAAGCAGAAATTTAAACATAACAAAATACAAATAAGTGATATAAAATCTACAAGGCTGTCACCAAGACACTACTGCATTACAAATTATTTCTAGAACCAGCTGTCTATAATTTTTCAATTATCATCGCTACTGAAAAAAAACACCTGGTGAAACCATATCAATTACAGTTTAAGAAGAGCTTACAGACATTACTCAGTACAAAAAGAGCAGAAATGACTAGCTATCTATATATAGCAACTTTTTACAAGTGAAATTAGATAAATCTCTAATTGCATTCATTGTACAATACAACTGTCAGAACAATAAAAGACAAGCATTATTACAAATGAGAAATTTCACAAATAATCTGCATTACATTTTAGGGCTATTAAATTGTGATTAAATCTCTGCTTTAAAGAAAAAAATTTGAAAGTCCTACTTTATAGTTGGTAAGAGTGATAGAACTAAATTTTTAAAAATTCAGACTTGTTATTGTTCTGTTAATAATCACTTAAAAGATTTAAACAAACTAAGGCTGGGCGTGGTGGCTCACGCCTGTAATCCTAGCACTCTGGGAGGCCGAGGCCGGAGGATCGCTCGAGGTCAGGAGTTCAAGACCAGCCTGAGCAAGAGCAAGACCCCCGTCTCTACTAAAAATAGAAAGAAATTAATTGGACAACTAAATATATACAGAAAAAATTAGCCGGGCATGGTGGCGCATGCCTGTAGTCCCAGCTACTCGGGAGGCTGAGGCAGGAGGATTGCGTGAGCCCAGGAGTTTGAGGCTGCTGTGAGCTAGGCTGAAGCCACGACACTCTAGACCAGGAAACAGAGCAAGACTCTGTCTCAAAAAAAATTTAAACTAAAAGATAAGCAGTACTTTCAACAATTTGAATACATTGCAGCTCTATTTACACAGCAATGGCTAAAGCCTCGATCACATTTTCCACAGCTGGTCCTAACGAGAATGAGTAACTGGACGATAATTCTACTGCAGAACTCAAAGTTTAAAACATCTCAACTGGACTGGACTTTGAATCCAGTTCAAATTGACTACCAATAAACACATGATATAGTTTCATAACCAAGAATCTTTTTTATCTGAGAAGAAAATTCATTTCCGTAATCTCTCCATTTTAAAAATACAGAACCGTGGGAGAGCAGGATCCTGACAAATGTCAATGACTGAATCATGTCAAAGGTAGATCACTGGGATAAAATAAGAAAAATGTAAAACTACAATGTGATATTATTTTTATGACTTTTTAAAAAAGTAACTGTTTTTGAATATTGAATCTTACAGCTACCCTTGATATTTTAGTTGACTTACAAAGTAAATCTTTAATTTCTCCTATCAAGATTTTGAGGGGCGGTGGAAGAGGGAAATAAAGCAAAATGAATAATTAAATACAGTTTATAGAGGCATGTGCGTAAAACTGTACTTCAGGAATAATACCCTTTTGAGATGGGGGATGGTGGCAAGGTTGTCCTTACAACCTGTATCACTGATGTATCGTGTGTGGCGGTTCCAAGTGTCCAGAATCCAATTTGAACATGGTTTTCAACTATGCTTCAAAGCATCCAGGACTTCAAGAGGTGGAATTCTAAATTCCCAAAAGATTACCCATATTTTCCTCACGCTAAGGAGGTCCTTAAATTAATACTTTATCTATGAAAAGGCCCTAACTTTGAATTTAGTTTTAAAAAGTTAACTGATGTTCTCTGTTAGAATTAAGTAAAAATAATACACCCAAAATGGTAATCTGACTGATCATTATGCCACCATCAAGCTCAAGATTTGCAATTAATTATGAGAACTTGTGCTTACTCCTCAGGAGTCTAGTACAATTCAGATGTAAGCAAAGGCAAACGAGAGTTAGGCGAGTTTCCAAAACTTTAATAAAGAAAAAAAGACACTTCCAAAAATAAATGCCACACAAATGAAAGGTTTTTTTTAAAAAGTGAAAGATACTCAAGAAACAAAACCCTTTACTATCAAAGTATACTAAATACTTAAATCTAACGATGTTGAGTGTTCAAATGCAGGGCAAATGTAGCTTAATAATAATATAGCTAGTAAAGTAGTGTTTTTCATGATATGGCTGTTTTAAGACATCACTTAATATAGTTACTTTTTTAAGCCTATATTTTCTTAAACATCCATTTCACAATTCATTTAATTATTGTACATTCATTTATAAAAACACACATTTTCTAACAGATTATTTTGTGCTTTAATAATAATGAACCATGATAAATACTCAAGTGATGGAAATGTTTGGCTAATGACCACACCCATCACAGACTCTTGCACACTTACACAGCTACTGCAGTAACCAGAAGAGCTACAACTGTTCTTAAAAATGACACTCACTCAAGTTCGATAAGCATGCGAAACACTGAAGAGATGTATTTTTTCCCAGGTTAAAACATTAGAACTTTCTAGTTTTCTTTAAAATCTATAAAGATAACCTGCTTATTTAAATCACTTTTAGCTGTCAATATATAAAAAATGGAGGGAAGCATCATTTAGAATTTTCTTTGTAACTTCTATAGTAAAAAATGGATGTTTTCAAATTGCAATACAATTAAATTCTATTTTAGAAATTCTAGATTTTAAAATGTTAAGAAATATAATGTCAATTACATTTACAGGGCATTCTAATGAATTAATCTAGTGATTCCGCAGGTCTACAAAGAATTTTCTAGCCAGGCATGGTGGCATGAGCCTGTAATCCCAGCTACTTGGGAGGCTGAGGCGAAGCATGGCTTAAGCCCAAGAGTTCAAGACCAACCTGGGAAATATAGCAAGATCCCGTATCAAAATAAATAAATAAATAAATACTTTTCTTCAGGGTGGGTAACACCACCTTATACTCGTTTCAGTACTTTTAACAAATTCCATTTTAGATGAGACCCAGGACAAACCCCAACTTATTCTAAATGCTCCTCTACAACAAAGGACCAAGGTATATCATCTTACAGATTGACCATTTAGTAAAGAGATATTAACCTAAAACAATAAAGTTTATATAATAGTGACTAATGCCAAACATAATGGACCTCATTTTCACAATTTAGAAATAATTTTCATGCAAAATTTTATATAGAGCTTTGATTCTTACTTAAATTTTTATTTTTTTAAGTAATCAAGACAAATAGTAGAAAAAGCTTTTTATTTATATGGAAAAAGCTACAGTAAGGTCTGTAAAAGGTGTCAATATAATATTGCCTATAGAGGAAAAAATTCAAATGTGAATAGCAACAAATAAATGTTACACATCTTCCTACTTAGCAGTGCAATTAATTCACATTGCAATAAAGTTAAGTCAAGTATAACAAAATCAAAACAAGTGTTTCTCCATAATCAGTATACTGAGAATTACAGTGTAAAGATCATTTCAGGTTTAAGAAATCTGCAATCAATCTATAGAATATCCTAAGACAAGGGAGACACAGTCAATTCATTTAATTATCAGCTGTTGGGCTTTTTCAATACTGTTCACAGGAAAAAAGTAATGAGTTGACATACATGTAAATAGAATATATTTAGTCTATACAGTAAAAAAATACAAATTATAAAGTGAGCTAACAGAATGAAATCTGAATACAGATTTATAAAACTGACGACATCTTAGACAACACATACAGTATTTCTCATGTAAAAACATCTAGTTTCAGCAAAAAATAATTTGGTTGCTTTTCAGCTGCATTGTAGATCTTGTAAGCTGAAGATGCAGATGTCCAAGTATCTTAAAAACCATAATAAATGTCTTTCTCAATGCATACAAAATGATAAATGCTCTCATCACAGTCTTAAGGGTATTTTTGGAAGTTTGTTTTGTCTTGCTTCAGAAACACATTTAAAATGGGCAAAAATCAAAGGGTTTCATGATACAATGAAACAGTAAACAGTGCTCAATTTACTGCTAATGTTGAAAAAAACCTAGATTTTACAGTACTCTGGTATATATGAAAAATTTTTTGACTTTACATTGCATATTTCTGAGTCCATTCTCTTGCATGTCTGTTGTATCTGTAGGCAAACAAAAGAGATATAGTAAAAACACAGAAACTTAATCTTTTAAAAGCTTCTTTCCATATAAAACTGCATATCCTATCTTCTCATGCTTAACTGCAATAATCATACATATATGTGATATAGGCTCCCCCATGCATAAATAAAACAGGAAAAATAAATGATTTTTTAACTTAAGGACTTTTTTGCAACCTATATGAAAATGTACCTAAATATAGAAAAACAAAACTTAGAAACCAACTTCTAATAGAAATTTATAAAAGCCAACCCTGAATGAGCATTACCTGCAAATTGCAAATAAACCTACAGTACAAGCAAGGTGGAACAGCTTGAAAATTAGGTCAGTTTGGGTGGGCCTAGAATTAACTTCTCTTCCTGGGAGAAGATAGGGAATACAATATTTAGTACTTTCCTATGATTAAATTCTTTCGTTTTTAATTTACCACCTCAAATTATATATTATTATTGTGCAAACACAGAACACGTACCATAAAACAGTAATGGGAAAGAACAAGATTTTTTGTAAAAAGACTTAATAGAGTTTTAAAAGAAAGGTTTACTCCCCTGGAAAAAGATAAACTTAATACAAGCATAAAAAGCATAAATGTACTTAAAATATATTGATAATATTCATTTTTTGGCAGACTATATGGAAAAGCATCCAAACAGAAGCTAATATAAGTAAACACTTACTTTTCTTTGTCTGATTTATAGATTTGTGCAATATCTGGTACTAAGGGGTCATCTGGATTAGGATCACAAAGTAGAGAACATATGGACAATAAAACTAGATTTAAAAGAGAACATCATATTAGATAATAATCTTTTTACTTTATACAAATTACATATGTGAAAATAACTTTACTGAACACAGATTAAAAAAATAAAATTACATTTATACAAACTACATTTTACACTAACTTTGGCTGATAGCAAATTGATCTTTAAAATTTTTTAAATTATAAAATTACCATAAAATGTATATAATACAAATTTTATTTTACCTTTTGAGGTTTTAAATTCTATTTGAATTTCCCTTTATTTAAAAAATGTGAACCTCCAAAGTAGCTATTAATAACTTTTAAACTTAAGAGTTCTCTTCAAAGCAATCAAAGTACAGTTAACAGTCCAAACCATTTTGGATAGTATGCTCGTATGCTTTTTTACTTTGGCTTAGTGCTATAGACTGTCTACAAAGAAAATCTGTAAGATTTTTTCAATGAATATTTTATTCCATGTACCTTATTCATATGGCATGCATTTAAAAATAATGTTAATAGCTATCTTTATATAACTTAATATGTTAAAATATAAATGAAATTTTAAAAAGTAGTTATTGCTACACTATGTAAAGATACTAATACAAATAACTACACTTAAAAAAAACATCTAAGTATCTGAAATGAGAGGGAACAAGGACTCTGGTTCCTCATTTTTCTGCTTCAATTACATGACACCATTTCAGAGGTGGTGCATGGAACCTTTGGAACAACCTCTCATTTCCAACTGCTCCCCACCCCCCATCATGTTTATATTTTCAGAATCTTTTAAGTTCAAGGGTGGATTTATAGAGCAGTCTTAAATGATAGGGAAAGGGGAGGAGTGTTATGGACTAAGGATAAAACTAATATTTTATTCATCTTCCTTATCTTCCATTTGCTCATTGAAACTTCAGGCCTTGTATATCAAACTTACAGGGTAGATTTCCTGGGCTCACCTAAGTCTCCAGAATGCTTCCACACTGACCTCATGGTAAAAAGCAGAACAAGACATTTAAAATACAGAAAAGCACCAGGCACGGTGGAATGCGCCTGTAATCCCAGCTACTTAGGAGGCTGAGGCAGGAGGATCGCTTGAGCCCAGGGGTTCAAGACCAGCCTGAGCAACACAGTGAGACCCTCCCCATCTCAAAAAACTAAAATTACAATTAAAAATATATATAGAAAAGTAAAAAATATACAAACAAATGAGTGAGATATGATCTATTTATACCGTAAGAAAGAAGTTCCTTCTCTGCCTTCTCCTGCTGAGAGGAGTTATTTGACCTAATTTCACTATCATGCACACAAACCATATCCATCCCTTAAGATAAGGAAAAAGGTAATAGCTAACATTCATTTGAGTGCCTACTGTGAGCCAGGTGCATGGTGACCCTATGTAGTAATACTATTATAAACCCTATTTTACATTTAAGGAAACTGAGACTCTTTGAATTCTCAAAGGACAGTTTCCAGAAGCCAATACTACTAAGTGTTCTTTAAAAAAAGCTACCAATGTCAGAAGATAAGTACTCAGCATGTGGCAGTCTGCCATTTGTACGTATAAGGACTGAGTTGCTTATGCCAAATGACGTTCATTTCATGACACCATTCCAGGAAAGTGTATATTAACTTGAATAGCCCTTTGACACAGAATCTTTCCTACATCCAGTGCATGACAGTTACACTATATGAAAGATTTTAAAAAGGATACTAGAATCTACATGAGCATTTTAGATGAGGATTTTGGGTCAGAAAAACCACCATTCATAAATAATTAACCCGAAGGGCTATTATTTATTTAATACTTTAAAGAGTTATGGCTGTGGGCCCTACTTCCTGTAAACCTTATCACTTTTAAAAACAAGTTATATATTCAGGTAGCATTTATAAAAAAAAAAAGAAAGAAAGAAAGAAAGAAATCAGCACATGTTCTTCCTATGAATCCTTCGAGAGAAATAATTTTCCAAAATTTTATAAAAAGGGAAAACTTGGTAGTTACTTCAGGGGCAGCTGCTTCTAACCCAAACAGTATTTTCCAACACTCAGGTTATCTTCTATTAGAGAATCAAGACACAAATAAAGAGTGCTAGCACTGTAAACAGTATTGGCTAATGAAACAAAAATGGCTTCAGACAGCCTGTACATAGATCTGATAATTTAGCAGAGAACAACGCCAAAAACCTGTGAAAGCTGAGAATCAGCACTGATTATGTGCCAGTCATTATAATGATGCTATCGATTATTCTAAGTTTGGACTAACGTATTTTATGTCCTACATTAAAGTGTCAAATATGTCTTTCATTTTAAATCATTTATTTTATCAGCCCAATCTGATATTTTTTTCTTGGATGAAGTAAAACAGTTGTAAAGCTTTATGTCAGTAGTTCCATTTAATGAATGGGATAACTGGTCCTAAAAATCTTCTTTTTTCTACCTTTCTCTCTTTTTCTAAAGACAACACCCAAGCCAAAAAGGGTAAAATATCAATAGACTTATCCCCAAATTTCTAGCTCTCATATTTTAAATTTCTTCTCATTTCATCATTTAGATTGCTCTTTCCACCCCTCAACCCCCAAGTTAACTGCTAAAAGCCAGAGTAACATAAGGGCTACACGAGCAAAGTAAAATCAAAACAGAAAAAAGCTCAGTTGATTGGTTTTTTTAAAAAAAACTTTTGTCCCTACATACTTCATTTCTCCAGTCTCACTGTTATCAACTGTTTTAAATCTGATAAATGAAATTACCTTTTGATACAGTCAGAGCTGGTGACCACTGTGACCTCAGGATATCAAGACAAATACTTCCATTACTGTTTATGTTTGGATGGTAAATTTTTGTTGTGAAAGCAATCTAAACATAAAAAAGAAAAAAAAAACACAAAAACATGACAATCCACAAACTATGAACAAAACAGAACCAATGTGCTCTAGGGTAAAATATCCTCAACTTTACATAAACTTAGAGGAGAAATTATTTTCAACACTAATCAAATGATCATCGACTTTGTACTTTACACGTAGCTCTAACTAGTGGGAAGGTGAAAGTCAATCAGTTTTCCTCTTTTCCCCTCCAAGGAATTGAGAAGCATTTTGGAGAGTGTGATATAAATAAGTCTGACTGGTTGAAGAGCACCTGAAGTAATCAACCATGGCTTTCACCATACCTAGAAGTAATAATCCTTTTCTTAATTTTGATTATCAGTGATATCTAGAAGTGACACTTGGGTCTAAAATCAGGGTGCTGACTCTGTTCCAGGGCAAATTTGAGGGGTCTCAGCTTGCTACCTGTCCTAAGAAATCCACCAAGAATCCTAATCTCCCACAAGAGGTGCTGTCGTATCATTTCATATACACAATGTTAATCAGGTGTTTTTAAAAATCTAAAGTAATTATTTTCTGAGTGACAGAATCTGTTAATTTTTTTTCCTTCTTGATATCCCCATCATTTGTTTCCCTTTGGAGCTAATCTAAACTAAATTTAATAAGAACAGGTTTCTACCTTTCCTAGCATACTAAAGGGACTATGTCATATTTACTTTTGTTTTCCGCAATGTAAAAGAAAATGGTAGATGCTCAATAAATGTCTACTGACTACTTTAAAAATTGAGAAATAAGGGTCAACTTTGGAAAGATAATCCCATGAATAGCAAAGTCTGACTCTTAACCATAAAAACTTCCCAAACTATAGATATCTAATAAGGAGGGAAAAAAAGCCAAGGAACCTAATTTATAGCACAACAGATACTACTGTTTATTTTATAGGCCTAATATAATATTTGAGTAAAAAAGCATATTTTAGATTCAGTGGCTTTACAAAGTTTAAAAGTGCTAAACTACCCACAGTCTTTGACATCATGAAACTACCTCTAGATAAAGAGTAAAATCCCTGACGTGGGAGTCACATCAATCATAAAAATAAAAATACCTTTGGTGGTTTAAAAGGATAATCTGTCGGAAAATGTACAGTGAGAAAGAAGACTCCACCTTGATATGCGCTATCAGGCTGAAATTACAAAATATTTGCATCAGTATTTACTCAATAACTTAAGATGATTTCACCAAATACTATCAGTTGGAAAAGAATGCCATCATATTTTACCTGATTTTATTAAATATTATCAGTTTGGGAAAAAAAGGCAATCATTTTGAAATAAGTTCAAATCATTTACCTTGAGAACAGGTTTCCCTTTGCAGGTATGAAGGATGATTTTCCAACAATTATGCCAACGTCAAAAAGTTTAAAAGAAAACAAAAATAGGACACACACAGTGGTATAACTTGCCCAAACAAATCTGTTCATGAGTACAAATTTTTAAAGATCAGTATACACACAAGACTGCTGTGAGAAAAGATAATTTTCTGCAGCAGTAATCAGTATTTTTTTAAAAAGGGTAGAGGCTAGTATTTACCTTCTTTTTTATAAAGTTTAAGTTCTTCTAACATTACAAGCCAAAAAAAAATTAAAAAAGGGGAAAAAGTAGCAAAATATACGTAAAATTCTATTTTAATTCTTTCATATTTAATTAAATATATCAGGTTATATTAGCATTTGGGTAATAACAGCAAGACTGTTATTACTTCCTCTTTAAGTTCCTGCATACATATTAGAGGACTGTACTGTATAATTATTATATATATATTGTTTAATTCTAGTTCATCAAAAGTTATAAAGAATGTAGAAAATATAAGCAAATTACAATGATGGTTATGGTCTGCTTAGATATGCAAATAATAGTACAGAGTACTGTAATGTAATGTACATTACATTACATGACTAATATCAACAGTAGTCATGTTTACATTACTAAAATAAGGGAGGTATGAATAACATAATTGTAACCATTTGCTACATGTGATTCACCTAAAACATCTGTGAGGGGCTATAATTCAAATGGTAAGGGTTGGGGCTGGGCGAGTTGGCTCAAGACTATAATCTTAGCACTTTGGAAGGCTGAGGCCACAGGATCACTTGAGGCCAGGAGTTTGAGACCAGCCTGAGCAACATGCAGGACCCCATCTTATAAAAAAAAGAAAAAATCAGCCAGGCATGGTGGCATGTGCCTGTAGTCCCAGCTACTTGGGAGGCTGAGGCGGGTGGATCAATTGAGCCCAGGAGTCTGAAGTTGCAGTGAGCTATGATGATGCCACTGCACTCTAGCCCAGGCAACAAAAGCGACACCCTATTTCAAAAACAAAAACAAACAAAAAATGGTGAGGATGGATCTTTAAATGATAGTATTTTGAAGGTTCTTAGTAAGTAACGAAAACAAGCAAATAACTAGATTCTTATTGAAAGTTGTTAAAACTTATTAAAACAATTATGTTGCATTTTACCTTTAAAAAATCAACTTAATAAAACAATTTAGTAATTTGAGACAACTGCCCAGGAGTCCTGCTTTGATATTCAGTAGTTTTTGGTTTTTTTGAAGTTAAACACGAGCCAATACAATTAAAAACTCTATAACTTACTGATAAAGCTCCTTTAAGGGCAGGAGGAGAGAATGATGTTCATAGAAACATGTTACTAACGTACGCTCACTCAGAAAGGAGATTTGAGCTGTCAGTGCCCATTCTTATGCAATCAGATTTTTGCTCATACAAAGAAAAGCCTGTTCCAACTCATAATTGCCTCTCAGGTGTTGAAAGAAATAATTTTAACAAAGGAAACAAGTACTAAGTGGAGGAGGGTATAAAACAGTACATAATTTTTAGTTCAGAACAATGAGACAAAATTAAAAGCGGCAAACTCATAAGGTGAAAAAGATAAACCCATTGCAATATTTTGTCAATTCTCTTTCACAAACAAGAACAGTGATGAAACATATTGCAAACTGATGTTTGTTACTTGCAGGAATTCCATTACTGAGTTAATTAGACTTATTTTTAACCTACTAAAACTGTGGATGTGAGAATGATTATGCATAGTTATAAACAATTGACTCTTTGTGTCTAAAAAAAAAAAAAGATAAAGCGAACACACAACTTGGTTGCAAATTGTGGGTGATCCATTACGATGTGTAACAATCAAGGATTTGGCAAAAACAAAAAAAAAAACCTCATAGTGATCATCCAAAGTATTTGCCACCAATGCTCCAGAAAATCATCACAAATCCTCAATCATATTTTGCTTCCTGGGTGATTCAGAGTATAAGAAAATTCAACCTTAGTTACAAACATCTGATCAAAGGTGAAATGGCAAGAATGATGTATGGCTGAGGGGATTAATTTCATATATATGAATCATACTTACAGGCCCCATAATAGTTGCTTGCCAGTGGAACACTGAAACAAACAAAGGAGTTTTGGAGTCATTAACGAATGTTCAAACCTATATTTTTAATGGTAGCAAAATCCTGGCAATAGAGCAAAGCTTACGGTCATCTCCCACCGGTCCAGCCGAACAGTGAGCGGGTGGATCACGTTGTAGATCACTTAACTCCTAAAGGAAAGCAAAAACACTTAAGGTTAATTCTTTCTGTTCCCAATGAAACAAGCATAATAATCCATTAAGACACAAATTATTAACTTTACCTTAAAACCATTTTTGGCAATTCTATTCAGAATATGAAAACATAAAATGTACTGACATTAATTGGTAGAAAGGTATGAAATACAGTACTAAATTCCTCCATGAGCAGCTCCAAACCTTGAAAAGATTAAATGGATTAAAATGCCATTTTAACATCCCTAAGACAAAAAAATTTAATGCGTATCTGCTGTATACAAGGTAATTTATGTAAGTGCCAGGGAGATAATATCTAAAAAACAAGTCCTACTTCCAACGGGTTACAACCTAAAATGAAGGAGAGTGAAGGTTCAGAAAGATGAATGAATATTTAAGAACAACTTGAAAGTTACGTAGAAAGAAAGAAGAGCAGGCAGGCCATGTTTTGAAACCTAGAACACGGATTCACATGGTCTTTCCTGCCCTCAAGGCAGCAGAGGGGAAAGGTCATAGAAAGGACACAGCTTTGGAGTTGGCCAGGCCTGGGTTGGGATTCCAGTCCTAACACAAGCAGCTCTGTGGCCTTGGGGAAGTTACTTAACTTCCTCAGCCTCAGCTGGGGAGTAACTGATCATCCCCAAATAAGAAATGTGTAAGTTCAGGCTGGGCGCGGTGGCTCACGCCTGTAATCCTAGCACTCTGGGAGGCCAAGGCGGGCAGATTGTTTGAGCTCAGGAGTTCGAGACCAGCCTGAGCAAGAGAGAAATTAATTGGACAACTAAAAATATATGGAAAAAATTAGCCGGGCATGGTGGCGCATGTCTGTAGTCCCAGCTACTCGGGAGGCTGAGGCAGGAGGATCACTTGAGCCCAGGAGTTTGAGGCTGCTGTGAGCTAGGATGACGCCATGGCACTCACTCTAGCCCGGGCAACAGAGTGAGATTCTGGCTCAAAAAAAAAAAAAAAAAAAAAAAAAAAATGTGTAAGTTCAATACGAAGGACTATAATGGAAGAACCTACCTAATGTAGTTTGGAAGATCAGGGAATGTCTGTGAGGAAGTGACATTGATGCTGAAAGCTAAAGGACGAGTGGGAGTTCGTTTTGGGGGAAATGAGTAACATTGGGAGGCTGGCACAGGATGAAGCTGGAACAGTAGGCAGAAGCCAGGCAGAAAACAGAGAACAAAACACACCGCATTAAGGATTTGGGGTTTTATACCAAGCACACTGGGAGGGGTTTTAAGAAGTGGCAGACTGTGACTCAAAGGATGGTTCTGACTGGATTAGAAACGGGAAAGGGGAGAAGCAACAAGACTGGTCACTACGGGCAAGAGAAATGGTGGTTTAGACTGGAGACACGGTGGCAAGATAAAGGCGGGGGATTTGAGATATGTTGAGGGGCCTATCTATCACAGGACTTGATGGTGAATCACATGTACAGAGTAGGGCGAGGTCACAGATACATATGAAGTGTAGGTGGCAGCTAACATTTACTCAGTGTCTTAGTCACCCTAACAATCCTCAGAGGGAGATGTCATCACATTCCCCACTTTACAGGTAAAGGTGACGCACTTCACGGTATGCTCATGGAACTACCATAGGGCGGAACTGGGGTGTAAACCCAGGCAGTCCAACTTCTTGATTTTTAGTTTCACGAATGTACAAATGTAGAAGGCATTTGCTGAGACGGGGGACACTAGAAGAAAGCAAGATGATTTGGAGAGCAGATATGTTGAATCTGTGATCCCTGCGGTACCAAGAAAAACTTTAGTTCCACATACAGGGCTGGAGCTTGAAAGAGGGTGAGGCTAGAAATTGGAAAATTGTTGTATATACTTGGTATTTGAAACCATGGGAGTGATGTAAACATTTTTGTGGGAACACATATAAGGAAATATGGCCCTTAAGCAAATCTAAGACATCATCGACTGTAAGTCACATCCTTATTTTAAGTACCAATAATTAAGGAAAAATGCTGCCAATTAATTCTAAGACACCATCAATTATAAGATGCACCTAGTTTTTCCAAACGTTAAAATGTGAAAGATGTGCACCTTAGAATCACTGCAATATGGTAATTACAGCAATGAGTCCAGTGCTCTAATAGAGACAAACAAGAAAGAAGTTGTGATAGGGGAAGGCTTTCCCAAGAAAGTGATATGAGCTAAGTAACTGAGCCAAGTGCAAACTCAGGTCTGCTTCTTCCAAGTCCAATGTTCTTTTCCAGTACACCTTGGTACTTTCATTTTTGTTTTGTCGCTCTTTTTTTAATAGCTGGTGTGAGGTTTCTCTTCCTAAGAAGAATTAACTAACACAGCTGTTCCTTTGCTCTGTGTGCATCTAAGCAATAAGAAGGATTTCAATCTTTGATTTAGCTATCCTGGTTAAAAGCAAGGCTTTGAAGTTCAGGTCGTCTGGATGCCACCACTCACTTGCCACGTGATCTTGGGAAAAGTCATTTTTTCCTCTCTAAACTCCAGTTTTCTTTTATGTAAAGTGGCATTACCACCTTTATCCATAGTTTCTATGACAATCAAGTGAAATGATATAGCACAATGTCTGGCACATAGTAAGCACTCCAGTAAATGTTAAGATATTATGGGATTGATAGCAACCATTTGATTCTCCAGTACCAGATACAATTATTTAAATAGATTAAAAGATTGAGGGAGGAGCAGTTCCCAATTCATAGCCCCATTTTAGAATGGCTGTACCTTATAACAGTTTTCTAATTTGGGTTTTTAGGAGATTGCTTCTGAAAGTATTCATCATGTTGAGTTTTCTGAACATTAGTGTAAATGAGAATTCTTTGCCCCCATTTTAACTGGAAAACTAGTTAATCAGAAAATAGTCTCTGTGGTTTTAAAAAATTATTAATGATTTGCATGTATATATTTTACATAGAGACAATGTATATGTGAATAAATCATACATACAAATACGTACATATTAATTTTATTAACAAGAAAAACTAAAACCATATTTTAGTTCAAACAGCCTTGAACCATATTCAAATTTCAAATATCATGCTGTTCTTCAAATCCCTTTAAAAATATTATACAAAATAAAGGTTATCTTATGTTTTTACATCCTGATTCTACCTCCTCTATTAGAAGAAGTTAGAGCTAGGGAGAGAAAGAGAGAAAATAGAACAAACTCTACAAAGTCCAGGTTCTTAAGTTGTATACTTAAAGCCCACCCATAGAAGAAAGAGGCAGCTGATAGTACATCAAACAACCTTAACATTCACATTGATCATTACTTGCTACAAATAATTCCAATAATGCTTTGGTGAGGAGATTTACATATCCTAGACTTTTTAGGAGGGCCTAGATGCCTAGTGTTTTATCCCTTTGTCAATCCATGTGTCTGGGAATATGCCGTTATACTGTTTGGAAAGATGTAACTGAAGCTACGAAGCATATGGGCAGACAGAATGACCAACAAAAAACAAAAGGTACGATACATACCCTCTTCTTGCCCCCAAAAATACAGATTTTCAATTTGAAAAAAGAAAAATGAAGATATTTTAGAAAACTCTGAGATGTGCTAATGAGGTGCAAATATAAACAAACAAAAACTACCAAACCAAAACCGCACTCTTTTTGCTCTTAGTCTATTCAGCAGCCAACTTTTAGATGACACAAGAAATCAAGGATTGCTTATATCTATCAAATTCTCCCTTTTGATTCAGATTACTCTTAGTTTTTCTGAAACTGCCTCATCTGACTTATGCTTTCTCTGCTGTAGCTGGCATTGTTATTCACCTACTACTACTATCACAGCCACATATGAGGTATCAAAAATAATTTAGTGATTCTTATGTTGTTTCAAAAGGATATGCCAGGATTAGGTAGTCTCTTCACTTAGCCCTCTCCTACTCGCTCTGTAAGAATTAACATTGAATTATACAACCTGCTCAAGACCACAGATCTTTACAAGAGCCAAGGCTTAACTCCATATTCCTCACTGCTAATGGAAGTCCCTCTAGAAAACAATTTATGACCCCACTTCTTGAACATTTATGCCTGCCTATTCCACCACTACCTGAAATCTAAGATGCACCCTATACACAGCCTCCCAATAACTGTTTCATGAGTCCCTCAGGCCTCTTGTCTAGACCTCTTCATGGCCATGCTTTTATCTCATGCTAATTAAAAGACTTCAAAGACGAAGCATTTAAAACCATTCATTTTTTTAAAAAATTAAATATTGTATCTGTGTGTATGCATGTGTGTTACAAAAGCAAAACAGTGATTTGCAGGAAAAAATAGAGCAACGTATAGTCAAACACCCACAAGACCATTACCCAGACCAAACCACGGTCAACAGTTTAGAATACTTCCATCCACACCTTTGTTGTGAAATAAGAATGTCACTCACTGCTAGAGGGAGTGTAAGCTGAGACACAATATTTTGGAGGGTAATTTGGTAATAACTGTGAAAACAGAAAATGCGTATAGTCTCTGATTCGGTAATGTCACCTCATACAAGTAATTTCCCAGGTAGCCAAAGGTACATATACAAGAATGTTCAGTGCAGCATCTTGCATAAGTATGAAAAACTGAGAATCACCTAAAGGCCTATCAATAAGAGAATGGTTTCATAAAATAATATAGCCATATTATGAAACACTGAGTAACCATTAAAAAGAATGAGATACATCTGTATATGCGGATATCAAAGAATGTTACATGAATATAACAGGGTTTGAATGGAAAATACAAGTTGCAGGATGGTATGCCTATTATGATCTCATAATATATGCACAAATTATACATGCATAAAAATAAAGAAAAAGATACACATCATACTATTAACACTTATTATCTCTGAGAGTGGATTACTACTCCTTACTTGATGTCTTCTACGGTGTTTCAATTTTTCATAATACTTTTCTAATTTTTTAAAGAAAAAAAGATCTTTATTGTTTATGTATATATTTTTTTTGAGACAGTCTCTCGATGTTGTCACGTGGGCTGGAGTGTAGTGAT